ACTGTCCAGGACACTTTCTGGGGCCATACATTCTCCACAGAACACCTTGCCACTCCAAATGGTTCTTGGAGCCACAGACTCCATGGAAAACACCTGTAAATGATGCTTCGTTTACCAGACCTAACTAATGAATCTGGTCGCCCAGTGGGACTAAGCAGGCTGAGAACAATTTGAAGGACCACAGTAATTACCTCCCAGGAGATGAGTCATTGTGCTTCCCAGCCAGTAAGAGAGCCCCAGTCATGGGCAAACACAGCCTGATTGGCTGAGACTACACCAGGCATCTCTTCTCAGGTAAACAACCTGAAACCAAAAGTTCTCTGCTTAGCTTGTCCCTCTGGGAGGTCTGGAGTGTTTGGGGGCCTCAGCCCAGCACTAAGAACTTGGTACCCAATTTCTTAAGCTGCTCCCAGTACACTGGTTAGTGAGGACTTCAGTGCACCCAGGAGACAAAGTGAGTAGCAAGCATGCAGCTGCAGTCTCAAAAGGTACCAGGGAAGGTAAGCACGGCATCTCTTGTGTCCTGCCTCCCTCCCCTTTGTCTCCAGGAGACAGTGCCCAGTCTCCCTCCTCAACATATTCTCAGTTATCTCAGTATCAGGTTCTCCACTTGAAAATCTGTCTTCACCTCCCGCTTCTTATAGACAAATTAAATGATTCTTTTATACTGTGAAGATGGGGAGAACATGAGTCATGCACTTAACTCTGCACTGGTCTGTGTTCGCAAAATAAAAGAAGGCAAGGTCCATGCCCTCAGACAGATGTTTCTGTATTAGAGGTACATATGTGGCCGCTCATACCACACTGTCTTAGTTATCTAGTGCAGCTATAACAGAAATATCACAGTGGGTGGCTTTAACAAACAAATTTATTTTCTCACAGTTTAGGAGGCTAGAAGTACAAATTCAGGGTGCTGGCTCTCAGGCAAGACTCTCTCCCTCTCCCGGCTCTGGAGGAAGGTCCTTGTCTCTTTGAGCTTCTGCTCCTGGACAGTCTTCATGTGGGTTGGCATATCTCTTCCCACATCTCTGCTTGCTTGTTTAATCTCTTTTATATCTCAAAAGAGACTGACTCAAGAACACCCTACACCAATCCTGTCTTATCAACATAACAAAGACAATCCACAGAAACCACAGAAATAAAGGTTAAGGTTTACAACATATATTTTTGGGGGACACAATTCAATCCATAACACCCACCTCACCAACTGAGGCACACCCCATTATTCTCACTCCTGCTTACAGAATATTGAAGGGCAAGGAAGGAGGAGAGAGGGTGAACAACCAGGCAGCAATAAAACTGTAGGTTTGGAAACAAAAGAAAGAAAAGAATTATAAAATCCCTACTTCTCCTCACTACATAATACCTCAAACATTCCCAATTTGAAATCCATCTGGGTTAATAAGCAGCTCTAAAAGAAGTTGGCTTCTATCGCTTATCCACTCCCTTGGTGTAAATGTGTTTAACCAGTTGTCGTCCAGTCAGCTCAAGACTCATGGCGACCTTAAATGTGTCAGAGTAGAACTGTGCTACATAGGGTTTTCAGTGGCTGATTCTTCAGAAGCAGATCACCAGGGCTTTCTTCCAAGGCACCTACCTCTGGGTGGACTTGAACCGCCAATCTTTTGGTTAGCAGCTGAAAGTATGTCAGCCATTTGCACCGCCCAGAGACTCCTGAATGTGTTTAGGCACCTTTCTTTCCTTCAAACCTCAGGCTATGCTCAACTACCCAAAAGGAATGGAAGCTATAATTGGGAGAAAAAAGGAAGAGGTTAAGAGGGAAAGAATGAATTTTGGAGCTTGTGTTTAAAGCCCTGTGTGTGCTTGGCCCGCTTCTCCCCAGCCCACTAGCAAAGCAAGGCCACTCCAGTGAGAAACAAAGGACAGCAGGAGGACACTGGGATTCCATTCATAATAATAATATAAATGGTTCATACAATTGAGTCCCCCTAAGCACTCCACACATATTACCTCTCTCTTATTCTCACAACTGCCCTCTGTAGCAGGTGCTACTATTAGGCCCGTTTTACACACGTGGAAACTGAGGTTTGGAGAAGACAAATGTCTTTCTCAGGATTATGAAGCTAGTAAGTGGCCTGACCCCAAGTCGTGTGGACTAACCACAATGCCAAGGCCTAGAGGTGAGAGAAACTCAAGGGGCTGCACGGGCAAGCTTCAGACATTTCTCCTGGAAAGGAGAGGAAACTACCCATTCCTCTGGCACCCCAGTACCCTCCTCTTGGTGTTACAGATCAGTCTGTCTTTGTCAGTGCTATTCTTCAGCTCAAGGAGCCCTGGTGGTGCAATGGTTAAGCGCTCGGCTGCTAACCAGAAAGTTGGCAGTTCGATCCCATCTAGGCACTCCGCAGGAGAAAGATCTGGCGATCTGCTTCCTTAAAGATTACAACCTAGAAAACCCTATGGGACAATTCTACTCTGTCACATGGGGTCACTATGAGTCGGAATCAACTCAATGGCATCCAACAACAACAACATTCTTCAGCTCCATTCTAGGTGATAAGACTTTTATGGACTAACCGGAGGACCTAGAACCATTGAAACACTAGAAACCCAAGGGACAAAAAAAGTCTTCTGGAATTTACTTGTTTATGTGTTTACGATTTAGGCACCTGGATTTTGAGTCAACCCAGAATGTTTTCCTGAAACTGACATACTCTGTGGTTCAGAAGGTCAAATTGTTCCACGACTATGGAAAAGAATTGTTGAACAAGTAACCAGGTAATAATGAGGCTTTCTCATGCTAAAGGCTTGTGTGTGTGTGTGTGTGTGTGTGTGTGTGAGAGAGAGAGACAGAGACAGAGACAGAGACAGAGAGAGAAAGAGGTTTGTTTCTGGAGTAGGAAAGAGCTGGAGTTTCTCCACCTGCTTACAGAATTGAATAAATCAGATTGCTACAAGTGAAGCATTCTGGATTATTATTGTGGATATAGACACAAATCCTTAGCTAAATAATACCACCTAATTTTCATTCATCCATTCATAGGATATTTATTGAGAACTGTTATATACTGGAGCCCCAGTGGTGTAGTGGTTAAGTGTTATGGCTGTTAATCAAAAGGTAGGCGGTTTGAATCCACCAGCTGCTCCTTGGAAACCCTATGGAGCAGTTCTACCCTGTCCTATAGGGTCACTCTGAGTCAGAATCAACTTGATGGCAACAGGTTTTTGGTTTTATTATATACCGTCTCTCCAGCCTAATACACAGAAGAAATACATAATCAAAGAGTTTTGAAATAGAAAGGAACTTAAGAACCATCAAGCCCAGTTCCTGAGGAAAAAGGCAGGGGCCCACAAGTAGAAATAACTTCAGAAGCCTGAGGCAAGGCAACAAAGTGAGGGGAGCCAGGCAGGTTTGAATCCTGACTGCAACTTACTAAACCCATTGCCATCAAGTCGTTTCTGACTCACAGCGACCCTATAGGACAGAGTGGAACCATAGGATTTCCAAGGACTGGCTGGTGGATTCGAACTGCTGACCTTTTTGTTAGCAGCCGAGCTCTTAACCACTGTGCCACCAGAGCAACTTTGGGCAGCCACGTAACTCTTACGGCTTTGGTTTTCTCATCTATAAAGAAAATTATAAACCAGGGTCTGCTCACCTGCCCTCCTGAGAGGCTGTACTGCTCGGTGACTGCTGTATGTATGAACACTCACTAGAACTGTACATGCACAGACAAAGGCTTTAATATGGTCTGGAAAGTCCCATCATGGTGGCCGTCCTGGGTCTAAGCAGGCTTCTGCATATATTATAGGTTTTAACAGCATGGTTGTTATCTGGATGAAGGGCACGGAGGGTGATGCTGTTAAGTAGAGCCACTCTGCAGTGGGTACCCATCAGAGCCAAAAGACTCAATCCATTAGCTGCCAAGAGTCTTGGCTGCTGAGGGCTCATAGCTGAGTTGCTCTCCAGGAATTGTCTTCAGCCAAAGGGAGCTGTCTCTTAGGGGCAGCCTGCATCCATCCAGTGCCTGAGTGGTCAGTGTGGACACCCTTGCCCCAAGTTGGGACATCTCTGAAGGGCCATCTTAGCTTTTAGAGCTCCTGGAAGGATCGGCTGAGGCCTGGGTTGTGACTACATCATGGTTCAACTCCACCCATGCCCAACCCTGCTTCTCTCATTTACTCACAGGGGCTGCTCCTGAGAGACTCTCCAATGACCCCTGCACAAACATCTCACTCACAGAATTGGCTTCCAGAAAACCTGATTTACAACATGCAAATGAACCTTATTCCTCAGACTTTCAGTCTCAGAACGCAGCCTCAAGACAGTAATCTGCATTGCAGACAAGGGTCCAGCTTCATATCAGAGCCATGCTCCATCCCTCAGCCCAGGTCAGTCCATCCAGGGGAGGTCATCCCTCCCAGCACCCACACCCAAATAGACACAAAAGTCCATCTGCTAATGGAGGAGGCAAGATGCAGTTCTGACTATTCCTTCCCACTTCCACTCCCTCTATCTAGGTGGGAGGTTCTAGTTAGTGGGATCATGAAGGGCATTTGAAGAGGGAAAGAGCTGCTAAAGAGCTTCTGTGTCCATAGAAATAGAGCTTTGTACAAAGGGGTGGGGCAATTTTTCTAGCCCTGGCCAATGTTGGAGGTGCCAGCTCTGTCTGTACCAGTCTAAGCATGAAGCAGAGGTCCATGGAGCTGCTGCTTCTTCCCCCAGAGCAACAACCCCCACCCCCAAGCACCACCCAGAGCCAAGAGAACTAAGTTTACCCACATCCATGTGGATCCCATCCCCCATACTCACATGGAGGAAAGAATAATATTAGAGATGTAGGTGACCAAACTCTAACCACAGTTGGTTTTCAGATGGTAAGGGGCCCATGGGAACTCTGCATTGAACAGCCAGAGGGACCCACAGAGGTAAGTCTATTCCTCCCACGAATGGAAGGCCTGAGACCAGATGTCCTCTGCCTCTTAATTCCAGAAGTCACACACGCGTCCGGACCACTTCCAGGCTTAGCTGCACCTACCTTCTGCATTTCCCCGGAGGAGATGTTGCAGGGGCTGCTGGGAGGGGATGCCCGCTTACACCGCTGTTGACTGCTCAGGGCCCAGGAGTTGGCAAAGTCATAGGGGTCCGAGGTCAAGGTCCCTGTGGATCAAAGTTTCAGGAAAATGAAGTCACAATTATACCTGTCCCAGAACGTCTGAGTGAAAACTCTAAGTTCTGTTATTACCTAAGTCAACCTCCCATTAGATTACAGCATACACATTTGTGTGAGGAGTACCTTTTGTGCAGTGCTCAGCATAACACCACAAGGGCATGAGTATTAGAGCTCAGCAAATGTTTGGTGAATGGTGGCTGAATGAATGGGGACAATGAGGAAGGTGACATGAAAAGTGATGAGGAAGATGCCTATCCACTCTCGCTTCTCCATGCTTTGCGTACCTTTCTATCGCTGTGGGCAGCATTCTCCCAACATTCTCCACCTTTCTTACTGCCTTGGCTATCTCCACTCTTTCTCCAAAATGCAGAGAACCACTTCCTCAAGGAAGCCTATCTGGGCCAGCTGTAAAGGTAGTCCCCAGTTACGTATTTGAATTACGACTAACCAGCACTTATGACTGTCTGGTTTGTTTGTTTGTTTTTGGTTTATATGATGTGCATATAACTGGAGAAGCAGGAAGCACCAGTGTTGAAGCTGTATGTTTGTGTGTAATGTTTCCAACCCACAAAGACAAACAAAGATCGGATTTGTAAAGACAGTGATAATAAAAGGCAATAATAACGAAAACGAAAAAAAAAAAAAAAGAGGTATTCGACATATGTCAGAATCAACTTAAGACGGAGTCATCCCTGTCATAAGTCAGAGACTACCCGTACTCCCTTTCCCCCAGCCCAGTCTGGGTTGGGTGTGCCCTTTCCGTGTGCTCCCTTGGCCTCCTGGGCATACCTCTATCAAAGCTTTCATCACACTTTGTGCTAATGCTCTTTTTGCTTATCTTCAACCCCCATTCTACTGTGAGCTCCTAATTAAGGGCTCAGGTTTTGTTTCTTATCTCTAAATTCCTGGTGGGTGGTAGATGCTCAAAAGATTTTTGTGGAATGAAGGTAAGGATGTGACATGGAAGTTATGTCCCCAATCATTGCATCCTCCAAGTTCTCACGGCATCTGTGCTTTAGTATTCAAAGCATTCATGCTATTTTCAGCTACCCACAACCTCATGGCCCTACATAAACCAAAACACCAGTTGCTGTTGAGTTGATTCCAACTAATGGTGATCTCATGTGTGTCAGAGTAGAACTGTGCTCCATAGGGATTTCAATGGCTAGTTTTTTACAAATGGACCACTGGGACAAGCACTCCTTTTGCATAGTCAGGCCTGGAAGAGTGAAGTATATTTCAAGGTAAAATGATACATTTGACCATAGGAAATCAGCTGTCGCTGGGGGAAAGAAAAGAAAAGCAAAGCTTCAGAAGTATAGTCAGTTGGCATCTGGGGTGTGGTAGGCAGAAAAAAAAATTCCCCCATCCCCACCCCTATAAAGTTATATTTACCTCTTAATCCCCAGAACCTGTGAATATTATTTTACATGACAGAAGATGTGATTAAGTTAAGGATCTTGAGAGGAAGTGCTTATCCTAGATTATCTGAGTAGGCCCTAAATGCAACCACATATATGCTTATAGAGCGAGGCAGAGGGAGATTAGACACACAGAGGAGAAGGTGATATGATGATAGAAGCAGAGATTGAAGTGATGCAGCCACAAGCCAAGGGATGCTGGCAGAAGCTGTAAGAAGCAAGCAATAGATTCTCTCTTAGAGCCTCTGGAAGGAGTTCAACCCTACTGACACCTTGATTTTGAACTTCTGGCTTCCAGAACTGTGATCAAATATATTTCTGTCATTTTAAGACACTAAATTTGTGGTAATTTGTTATGGCAGCCTCAGGAAACTAATACATGAGAGAAGCCAAAGGGAAGGGAGCCTAAATTTGTAGAGTTTCTACTGTGCACCAGGCATTGTGATCATTGCTCAATAGGTAGTCACTCCATGAAACACAGACTTGTACACTTTCTAAGAAACCACACTAAGGAACTGAGAGGCAGGCCGAGGTGAGACTTCGTGTTGAGTAGGGAAAGCCCTAGAGAGACTTAAGACACCTGGGGTCTGGTCTCAGTTCTCCCTCAGTCACCCTATTTAATCTTGGGTTGATCCCATCATTCATCTGACCCCATATGTAAAATGAAGGGTTAGACTAGCTGACCTTTAAGATCTCTTCCAGTCCTGAACTTCTATGAAGTGAAACTCTTTGGGGTAAATCTGAAATGAGGCATAAGAATGTTCAATAGATGGAATTACAAACACTCTTGCTTAGAGAAAACACTCTGAAAGCCAGAGTTAAAGCCAAGCTGGGCAGACTCCTGGGATGTCAAGAAGGAAAGTTAACCATCTGGGGATAAAAACTGTTGAGTCCTTACCAACCAAAGAGAACTAAACTCACAGTCCTCTGAGGATGATACCCAAAATATCACCAGTGCCCTGACCTCTAGCTGACAGATACCACCTGCTCCCTCGTAGAGTAGATCCCATTTTTAGTTTTTTAAACCTTAGAGCCTAGAATAAGAAAGAAAGATATTTTAGCTCTGAGACTTTTATTTCTGTCGATGTGGCAAACTAGAAAAATTTGGAAACTGTGTCACTACAAAGGACATGGAAACTTTATATAAAATATGACGAATATCCTTTTAAATCTATGACTGATCTCAGAACAAAACAGAGGGGATTCCAAGAAACAAAAAGTATAAGGGGGGAAGAAAGGAAGGAAAAGGACAGAAAATTGAAAAATAATACTGGCAAGTGTGACTTGATGTTCTGGCTATAGTGTTAGAGTGAGGGTGGCAATCTTGCCAATCATGGGACCTGGGTTCTAAAAGTTCCATGGAAATGGAAATGAGTCTTGGGTCTTGTGAAGAGTGGTGCAGCTGCATCAGACGTCCTCTATCAACTTCACGAGGGGGCAGAAAGAATCAAAATCAACATCAGCCCAAGGCTGATTCCTATGAGGTGGAGGTCAAACATACCTCCACTCTCCAACCTTTTTACCAATTATGACACCAGCTGTCCCTCCCATGGCACTCACTACTTCTCCACTGGATTCAATAATTGTTTGCGTGGCCACACAGAACTCACAGACAATACTCACAATTATAGGGTTTATTAGGGAAGTAACAGGTTACAATTCAGGATTAGGAATGTCTCAGGATACAGTCTTTCAATCAGGACAGCTTCTTCTCAGCCATGCCCACTGGCCCTTGGCCTCTCGGCCTCTCAGCTTTGCCTCTGCCTTGCTAGGGCAAGTGTTACAAAGCTCTTTAGCTCTGCCAATAAGTGCCCAGAGGCACCCCACTCCACCAGTAAGACTCGGCTCAAAGGCGCTCAGCTCTCTCGCTCTGTGGGTCAGCACACCCACTGTAGCCACCTCACTCCATGGGCTGGGCAGCCCACTGCACCATCTCACACTGGTCTCCTGGTTCTGCTGCCACTATTTCTCTGCTGCTGCATCTTGTCATCTCATGCCGTCTCCAGTGTTACAGCTGTCTTGGGTCTAGGAGCTTCTCAGCACAGGGACTCCAGGTCCAAAGGATGCACTCCACTGCTGGCTCTTCTTTCTTTGTGGTAGTAAGGTCCCCCCCTCGCCTCTGGGATGAGCTCATTTTAAGCCTAGCAGGATGGCAAAACTGACCAATCCCATCATTAGGGTTTCATATGCCTTATTTTCATAGCCCCACCCCTACAGGGGTTCAATATACCCTACTTGCATTATTATCAGGCTGTCCAATCCCCTTGGTGGGCCACAATCACCTTATTTGCATAGTCCCATCTAATAATTTTATGGGAGTCACAAAACCATGCATGGCTAGAAGGGCCATATAAAAATGACTCATCAACAGGAGTCCAGTGATAAGGCCCAGAAGGCAGAAGGGGAGTAGGAAGCTGATGATAGGGAACACAAAGTAGAGTAAGGATATTGTTGATGTGTTGTGAGATTGTTAACCATTGTCATAGGGCAACATTTGTAGTAACTGTTAAATGGGAGACTATTTTGTCCTGTAAGCCTTCATCTTAAGTGAGAATAACAGCACGATTAGAAGAGAGTAGTGAATGTCACTTAAATGTATATGTAAAAAAATTTTTGAAATGGTGTATCTTTGGCTATGTGTATTTTCACCAAAAAAAAAAAAAGTTGAGAATTCAGAGGGTTAAAATGTTGTGGGGTTGTTAACCAATGTCATAAAACAGCATGTGTGTTACTGTTACATGAGAAACTATCTGTTCTGTAAGCCTTCACCTGAAGTACAATAAAATATTAAAAAAAAAAAAAGGCTCATCACACCACAGGTCTGCATGATGTGGGGAGTTGGACCTAAGAGTTCTTTGTGAAGCTGAGACCCTTGAAAGGGCTATACCCTCCATGAAAAAGTAAACAAGAAAAAAATCCACTCTGAGGAACAGGGAAACAATAACAACGTTTGTTTCCTTGGTCTGTTCTCTGGATAGGAAAGGTTAAAAAAAAAGTCTCCCCTGAGACTTTGTAGCAGTGGGAACACCCTTATGTTGGATTGAGATTCCAGTTTATACTTCCTGTGAGATTCAGTAACTTCATATTGGAAAATTAATATAAAAACCCTACTAAAATATCTACACAAATGTTCATTTCACCACTATTCACAATAGCCTAAAGGTGGAAACAACAGAAATGTCCATCAACTGATAAATGGGTAAACAAAATGTGGTATGTACCAAAACCCAAAACCACACCCAGTGCCATCAAATTGATCCCGACTCATAGTGACCCTATAGGACAGGGTAGAACTGCCCCATAGGGTCTCCAAGGCTGTAATCTCTACGGCCACATCTTTCTCCTATGTGTGGTATATACATACAATGAAATATTACTCAACCATAAAAGAGGAGTGAAATCATGATGCATGCCACAACATGGATGAATCTAGAAATCATTGTGCTGAACGAATGTTAGTCACAAAAGAACACATACTGTATGATCTCACTCATATGAAATAAACAAATATATAGAAACCAAAAATTATTAGTGGTTACCAAAGGTGAGACGGAGGGGGAAAGAGGGATTTTTTTTTGCTTAGGGTGCATTGAGTGTATGTTAATGGTGATGGAAAAATTTGGAAAAGGATAGCAAGAATGGTTGCACAACTTGAAGAATGTAATCAGTGTCACTGAATTATACATGTAAAATTGTTGAATTGGTATATGTTTTGTAGTGTACATGTTGATCACAATAAAAAAAATTTACTAAAGATGAACTCATAATCCAAAATTATCAAATATACAAGGAAACAATCCACTATGAGTAGACACAAAAAGAACAAGATTAGATGCCAAAAAAAATCCAATAATAAAATTTTTGTATAGAGGCTATAAAACAAATATATTTAAAATTATTGATATAAAGAAGAAATTGAAAGCTTGATAAAAGAATAAGACACTAAGAAAAAATAAAATTGAAAAAGAACAAAATTGACCTTCTAAAAATTACGAATATAGTCAGTGGGGAGTAAAAATTCAACTGATGAGTGTTATGAATTGAATTCTGTCCCCAAAAAATGTGTGTTAACTTGGCTAGGCCATGATTCCCAGTATTGTGTGGTTGTCCTCCACTTTGTGATCCCATGTATTTATCCTATGTGTTGTAAATTCTAATCTCTATGATGTTAATGAGGTAGCATTAGAGGTATTTATGTTAATGAGGCAGGATGCAATCTACAGAATTAGACTGTATCTTGAGTCAATCTTTTTTGAAATATAAAAGAGAATTTCAAGCAGAGAGGAGCGGGACCTCATTACCACCAAGCAAGAAGAGCCAGGAGCAGAGTGCGTCCTCTGGACTCATGGTCCCTGCAGTGAGAAGCTCCTAGACTAGGGGAAGATTAATGTCAAGGACCTTCCCCCAGAGCAAACAGAGAGAAACCCTTCCCCTGGAGCTGGTGCCCTGAATTCAGACTTCCAGCCTCCTAAACAGTGAGAGAATAAACTTCCGTTTGTTAAAGCCACCCATTTGTGGTATTTCTGTCATAGTAGCACTAGCTAACTAAGACAATGGAATAGACAGCAGATTAGGCAGAGTTGAAAAAGAATTAGTGACCTTGAAGATATATATAAGCAGTGATGTGCTGGTAAGCCAGCTCCCTAGAGGGGGAAAAAGCCCTAATTGATAGCATTTGCTGATTTCCATGGCATAAATACTCCCACCATGACCATTTCATGCTATGAGTGTGATGTAGCACAGATGGGAAGAGATGCACACAGTCTGTTATCACCAGCTGGAATAAGCACACCACTTGAACTAAGCAAACTGCCCAAAAAAACAACATAGAGGGATAAAGAGATAGAAAAATGGAGGTGAAGTGAAGAGAAAAAAATGATGGAATAAAAATATCCATAAAGTCCTCGGGGAACATCTAGCTCAATTGGCATAACACAGTTTATAAAGACAGTGTTCTACATTCTACCTTGGTGAGTAGCATCTGGGGTCTTAAAAGCCTGTGAGCAGCCATCTAAGATACTCCACTGGTCTCATCCCTTTGGGAGCAAGGGAGAGTGAAGAGAACAGGATACAAGGAAAAGATTAGTCTAAAGGACTAATGGACCACAGCTACCAAGGCCTCTACCAGACTGAGTCCAGTACAGCTAGATGGTGCCTGGCCACCACCACTGACTGCTCTGACCAGGATCACAACAGAGGGTTCTGGACAGAGCTGGAGAAGGATGTAGAACAAAATTCTAACTCACAAAAAAAAGACCAGATCTACTGGCCTGAAAGAGACTGGAGAAACTCCAAGAGTATGGCCCCCAGACACCCTTTTAGTTCAGTGGTGAAATCACTTCCAAGGTTCACCGTTCGGCCAGGGATTGGACAGCCCCATAAAACAAAACAGGACTAATGAGGCACAGCAGTCCAGGGACAAGGACTAGAAGGCAGAAGGGGACAGGAAAGCTGGTGATAGGGAACCCAAGGTTGAGTAAGCACAGTGTTGACATGTAGTGCGGTTGTTAACCATTGTCATCGGGCAGTATGTGTACTAACTGTTTAATGAGAAACTATTTTGTTCTGTAAACCTTCATCTTAAGTGAGAATAGCAGCACAACTTGAAGAATGTAGTCACTGAACTGTAGATGTAGAAATTTTTGAAATGGTGTATTTTTGGCTATGTATATTTTCACCAAAAAAAAATAATAATAAAGGTCAAGAAGGGAGAGGGTTGACATGTCATAGAGTTATTAACCAATGTCGTAAAACAATGTGTGTAGTGACTGTTTAATGAGAAACAATTTGTTCTGTAAACCTTCACCTGAAGTACAATAAAAAAATAAAATAAAATAAAACAATCCATAAAGTCTATCAAATAAAACAAAATACCCAACACCAGTCTAATAGTTTTAGAAGAAGAGAATACAAGAAATTCAAGAATATAAGAAATGTGCAGAGAAATAAGGGAAGTTGATATTCAAAGAGAAAATGATTGAAATTTTTCTAGATCTAATGAAAGATATGATCAAAAGATTTAGGAATTGCATTAAGTCCCAAGCAAGGTATTTAAAAATACAATCTACACCTAGACACAACATACTGAAATTTCAGAATACCAAAAACAAAAAGATAACTTATAAACAAAGAGTAAAGACATAATCTGCAAAGAAATAGCAATTAGACTAATAGAATACTTCTCAACAACAACAGTGAAATAGTATCTTCAAAGTACTTGAGAAATAACTATCATCCTAGAACTCTCTAACCAGCTAAAGTGTCATATAATAATGTGGGAGTGTTTGCTTCAGTTCACTACCAGACCCTGAATAAAGGAATTACTAATGGATGTTTTCCAGGAAAATAGATATTGAATCCAGGGGAAAGGAGTCAGATGCAAGAAGAAATTAGGAGCAAAGAACCTGTTAAACATGAAGGCATATCTAAACAAGCACTGATTATTTAAAACTATAATAATAATTATAATAGTAATAATAACAACAACAATAATGCCGAATTTAGCAGTATTTAAACAAAAAATAAGGGCAAGAATGTAATTTAAGATGATAACCAATGACTGAAATAGCCTTTGTACTGGGAGGAGGGTAGAAAACTTAGACTTTGTTAAGTCAAGAATGCAGTTTAAAATTTTAAGAGAAAACAATAAAAATACAAATAGAATGTAAAATTTTCATGTCAATTGAAGGATAAAGAAACTCACTTAGTCCGAATGAAAGGAGAACAATAGGGGTGGGGTGCAGATAAGGGCAGTAAAGCATAGAAAAAGCAGTCATAGTAGAAAGCACAAAATACAATGATAAATATAAATCCAAACATATCAACAGCACATTTAATGTAAAATAAATGAAAAGAGGCAAAACTTTCCAATGAGAAGGCAGAAAATACCTGGGTAGATTAAAATACTGGTATTAAGATATAATAGATACAACTGCATACCTATAAAATCGCTAAAATTTTAAAAAATGACAATACCAATGGCTGATGAGGATGCAGAGCAACTGGAAGTTTCATAAATTGCTGGTTGAAATGGAAAATGGGGCAGCCACTTTGGAAAGCAAGTTTCTTACAAAGTTAAACATACACTTGCCGATGTAAACATACAACCCAGCAATCCCACTCCTTGATAATTACCCAGAGAAATTAATATGTCTACACAGAAATCTATACATGAATGTTTATAACAGCTTTATTCATAATTGCAAAAAAACTGGGGCCAACCAAGTGCGAATGGATAAACAAACTGTGGAACTCTTCAGCAGTAAATAGGAATGAAGTATTGATACATGCAATAACAGATGAATCTCAAATGGGTTATGCTAAGTGAAAGAAACCAGACTCAAACAGCTAGTTACTGTATGATTACATTTATAAGAATTTTGGAAAGGCAAAGCTATAAGGACAGAAAAAAGATCAGCGGCTACTATCGGCTAGGAGTCGGGGTAAGTGTTGACTACAAAGAGACAGGAGGAATTTGGGGGCTGATGAAACTCTTTTATAATTTGATTGCGGTGGTGGTTACATGACTCTATACTTTTATGAAAACTCATAGAACTATACCCTAAAAAGGTAAATTTTAATGTTTGTAAACTATACCAATTAATCTGACTTAAAAAAACAATCAAATCCAGCTATGTGCTGTTTCATGGGACACATCTAAAACAAAACTTCACAGAAATGTTGAAAGTATGGAAAAAGCTTTATCAGGCAAACACTACTCAAAAGAAAGGTGGAAGACCTATATTAATATTAGACAGATTTTAAGGCAAAAAGCATTACTAAAAATTATGATAGTCGTTACATAAAAGGAATAATTCATCAGAAAGAGTCAACATTTCCAAAATCATATGCATCTAATAACAAAGGTTCAAATATACAAAGCAAAACTTACTAGAACATGAAGAAATTGACACATTCACTACCACTGTGGAAAATTTTAACATAACTTTTAATTAGAGGGTAGCTGGGTCATGAGGAAGAAGGCTATTTTACATTCAAATGTCCGGTTTTTGCAAGGGAACATCACTAATTAAATGTTTATGTGACTAAAATTATCAAAAAAGGATTAAATATTAATAGTGATTTTCAAATTATTCATTTTATCTTCTATTACTTATCAACACACACATATAAACTGGTCTCTTTGGAGATAGTTAAGGACCACTTTCTATAGATTTCATCCATTCCATTGTAGTGGGCTACAGAGGGTCTGTTCAAACCATCAAGCATTTACTAACCATCTACCATGTGTAAGTTGCTATGGGGAATTTCAAAGGTGAACAAAGTTAGGCTTGAGTAGCTCCAAGATCTGGTTTGACCAAAAGTTAAGGCAATGAAGTGAATGCTAAAAGATAAGGTTGGCAAGATAAATTGAGATGAGGTCATGGGAGGTTCAAATGCCAGGGGAGGAATGTTAGTGAAAGTTTAGGAGCAGGGAAGTAACAAGTATAACCACGCTTTAGGAAAATGGTATCTCAGAGATGCTTACCTTCTTGGGTCACAAAGTCATCTTCAGCAAACCTATTGAAGTTGCCACACAGCCCACAAGTCTTGTCGAAGTATCTGTCTGACAGCAGGATTTGGAAGTTGCCACTGCCATCGATCCTGGCCACAAAGCCATAGGTCTCACTGGACAGCTTGTAGTACCCAGCTTCAGTTTCCAGATACAGCCCATAAGATGCATAGGGCATGGAGACACTGCAGGAGAAAGGATTCACTCAGGAAGTGGGCTTCTCATAGATTTTCTGGATGTCCTCCCACCCTCCAACCCCAGTTCCAGGCTACAGGGTTCAGGTTACGGTGGAACATGGCTGATGGTCAAGACCAGTAACAGGAGACTGGTTCTCACCCAACCTGGCTACTCACTTTCTCTGGGTACATTTACTTCCTCTCTGAGCCCCAGCTCCTTTATCTGAAAAATGAGGGGGATGTGCAAGGGGACCCCCAGGGTTCTTTCTAATTCAGACAGTCTGGGCTTCTGACTTACCTTTGTTCCCCCTGCATCACAGTACCATTGACAAACACATGAATGTCAAAAAATTCCCCGAGATACACGGAGAGGCTCACTCTCTTGCCGTTTTGGAAGTCTCCTGAAAGAGAAAAAAGTCAGTAGTGGTGATTATTTAAAAAATAATAATAATTGTCACTATTATTTATTTATTCATAATCATTATCTCTATAATTTTATCTCAGCAGAAAACTCCCCCAAAAAGCTTAATAAATGGGCAACAAAAATCTCCCTAAAAATCTCATTTACTCACTCATCCTTCCATCATCTAAAAATATTTATTGAGTGCCTTCTGGGTATATAGCCCTCTGGCGGGCCCTTACATTTCACAAAAGAATTATGTAAAAGCATGACATCTTCCCTCTGGGAGTTTACAATCTAAGTATAAAGATAAGACAGGCTTGCAGCAATTGAATACATTGTAAGGCAGCAAATAAAAGCAACAGTAAGAGTTACTGGTAACAGGTATTTTGTTGTTGTTGTTAGGTTTCGACTCACGGTGACCCCATGTGACAGAGTAGAACTGCCCCATGGGGTTTTCTTGGCTGTAATCTTTATGGGAGCAGATTGCCAGGTCTTTCTCCAGTGGAGCCGCTGGGTGGGTTTGAACCACCAACCTTTTGGTTAGCAGCCAAGCACTTAACCACTGCACCACCAGGTTCCTCAAGAAGTACTCTAGGATAGAGTTATTTAAAATGTGATCTTAAGATAACCCAAATCAGAACTCAGGGCTGTTTGTTTAAGATGGAAATTCATGAATCCTGCCTTAGGGTACTGAATTTGAATCTCTGGGAGTTTAGGGATATTGCACACAGTGCATGGAACTCAATAAGGACTCAATAAATGATCGATATTGCCATTAGACCACCACCCGTTTGTCAGTTTGTCATATTGTGGTGGCTTGCATATTGTTCTGATGCTGGAAGCTATGCCACTGGTATTTCACATACTAGCAGAGTCATCTATGCTGGATAGGTTTCCGCAGAGCTTCCACACTAAGACAAGCTAGGAAGACTTGGAGATCTACTTCCAAAAATTTAAAGTTTTCCAATGAAAGCCTTATGGATCACAGCAGAATAGGTTGGTACGCACTACACAATAGTCACAACAATGGATTCAAACATACCAGTGATTACATGAAGATGGCTCAGACCAGGCAGTGTTTCATTCTGTTATACATAAGATCGCCACGAGTTAGAGTCTCCGATAATGGTCTGGTTGTGAAGGGTAAACATCAAGATGAGGGTGATGGCAGTTGGCATGGAGGAGGAGAACAGGCAAGAAACACATTTTCTACAGCGCTAACAAGACCTAACAATTTCACAGCTAGTCACTAAGAACTGGCATTTGTGCTGGGCCCTCAGTATTCAAAGAGAACTGTAGGAAATGAAGGGACTACAAGGAACAATATAGAGACTGAGTCTCCAAGACTTGGAGACTAAGAAATTGATAGAAATAGGGAAGATGAAGAGCAACCAGTAAAGACAGAGAGATGGAAGATGTTAGAGAAAAAGGGTCAAATGATGGAGCATAGAACCCAGGTTGAAAGGTTAGCCTTGGGAATGCAGAAATGTGTCTTCTGCTAGGAGGGACAGGGAAGTGTGGGCTTCAGCTCCTCAGCAAAAGAGGGGACAAGGAGGTCTGTGAGCTAAGTCCAGGAAACTTGGGAAGGCTCATTGACTTGAAGCGGTGCTGTCATGGCCAAGGCCACCAGTAAAGAGAGCAAGGAAGGGGTCTCCTCACTCACTCAGACCTCACAGAGCAGAGGTCTGGGAGGAGGAGTTCCTCAGTAGGGGTCTGATCACACATAGATACACGTGCACTCAAACACACAAAAACTTCCAACCAATCAGGATGAGCCAGAAACCATACTTGCTTCTGGTGAGATTTGAGTGAGGGCTGTCACATGTAAATAAGGAGCCCGTTCTAAGAATAGAGTCTTAAATGATACACCATTAGCAGCTCAGAGACCTCCAGGAAGGGATCCGAGACCACTCACAGCCTGCAAACCACATTCCACAGAGCTGCAGACCAGGAGAAAAGGAGTCACCAACCAAGTCAAAGAGTTTTTCTCCTGTTTGAGCTGGCGGGTCTTGCTCGCTCTGCATTTTGACCAGAACAGTTTTTGCAGCAAGCCAGTGTTTAAATGTTGAGCATAGTTTCTGAGAGCGAGAAATTAGCCAAAGAAAAGCAAACAGAACTGGATAGATAATGGATAGGATAAATTTAGCAAAACCTTAATGATAGAAGCTGTGTAGGGTGTATGGGTGTTCACTCTTATAAACTTTCCATTTTTCTGTACATTTGAAAATTTCCATAGTAAAATGTTAAAAAGCAAACAAACAAACAAATGGGACAGCTTGGCAGCAATCTCTGGTTTACAATCCCTCTCAGGAGCACTCTGGCCCCTGGGTATTCACATGGGCCCAAGCCCAAATCCTTTCCTCAGTCTCTCCTGAGACTAACACCCTGAACACCACACATCAGCTTGGGGTGAGCCTATGCAACAGTGCACAACCCATTCATAACCTCCTCACTGGATACGGAGAGAACAGGAGGTGCCCCTGTCTGCAGAGGGGGATGTACAAACCAGCCCAGAGGTCTGAGTCTCTGATCCCTTATGACCACAGAACCCTCTCATCATCAGTGTGATACTCCCTCCTCACCCCCAATCTGACAGGGCAGTGGAACAGGTGGTTCTGCCCTTGCTTCCCTGAGTAACTGGACCAGTATCTCACTTCTCAGCCAAAGGTCTCTCCCTCCTAGAAACAGGAAAGGAATCCCAGTACACCTCTCCTTCTTACAGACACTGTCTCTCCCGAGGATTCAGAAAGGGCTAACGAGAACAAGTCCACCAGCAAGTTTGAAGCAGAAGCGTGGGTAGAAACACTTTAGATGCAACAAGGCACCTCGGGGTCAGTCACTGGCCTGCAGCTACAGATCGATAGTTCTTCAAGACCTTCAAAGATGTACAGTCCTAAGGAATGGATTCCACAGAGGGTGAGGTGACACACCCAAGCTACGCCCTGAAATGAGCTTTAAGCTTTGAGCCTTGAGAGAACTGATCTCCTAAAAGTCTAAATCAAACAACATTCTTGTTGTTGTGTGCTGTCGAGTCAATTCCAACTCTTAGTGTCTCTATATGACAGAGTAGAACCGTCCCATAGGATTTCCTAGGCTGTAATCTTTACAGGAGCAGATCACCAGGTCTTTTCTCCCATGGAGCCTCTGGTAGATTCGAACCTCTAGCCTTTCGATTAGCAACCAGGCACAAGTCAAACAATAAAACCAAAACCAAGCCCGTAGCCACTGAGTCAATTCCAACTCATAGCGACCCTATAGGACAGAGTGTAACTGCCCGATAGAGTTTCCAAGGAGGATTTGAACTGCCAACCTTTTGGTTACAGCTGTAGCTCTGAACCAGTACACCACCAGGGCTTCAAACAATAGTCCAGCTTAATTGGCAAAGAACATTTTGCCTTGGACAATGTGCACTTTTAAAGAATTATCTATGTGCAGTTTTGTCAACAGAAACTCCAAAGGTCAGACTAGAGCTATGTTTTAGGGTAAGTCAGTAATTATCTGAATTGTTCTTCAGGAAAATGTTGCATGTCCAGACCTGGCAATCTGCTCCCATAAAGATTATATCCAAGAAAACCCCACAGGGCAGTTCTATTTTGTCATATGGGGTCCTTATGAGTTGAAATTGACTTGACGGCACCTAATAACAGCAACAGGGCCAGAGGTAGGGCAGGAGAGGGCTGAGATTGTGAGGGTTGATGGGGACTGAGCTGCACACTCCCAGGAGCCTGTGGGACTCCTGACCCAGGAGGGCAGAGGGGGGCTGTAAGAGCAGTCAGTCTACACCCAACACAAGGGGGAGCAAAGGGAGTTTTGAAAGTGTGCCCTGGTGAGGGGAAACATACTGTGGCAGCTGAAAGGATCTTGGAGATCATCTAAACTAGTAGCTTTCAGACTTTTTGGCCCAGAATTCAGAGTTAAAAACACATTTTACTTCATGATCCAACACACATACACATACATGTCACATAACAACACTTACCCTTACCACGTGCCATGTACTTTGATATTTTCTATTCTATTCCATTTAATTTTTTTAAATGCTTGTTGTTGTTGCTGTTAGGTGCTGTCGAGCCAGTTCCGACTCATAGCGACCCTATGTTCAACAGAACGAAACACTGCCCAGTCCTGCGCCATCCTCACAATCTTGTTGTGCTTGACCCATTGTTGCAGCCACTGTGTCAGTCCATCTCCTTGAGGGTCTTCCTCTTTTTCGCTCACCCTCTACTTTACCAAGCATGAAGTCCTTCTCCAGGGATTGATCCCTCCTGATAACATGTCCAAACTATGTGAGATGTACTCTCCCCATCCTTGCTTCTAAGGAGCATTCTGGTTGTACTTCTTCCAACAGATTTGTTCATTCTTTTGGCAGTCCATGGTATATTCAATATTCTTTGCCAACACCACAATTCAAAAGCATCAATTCTTCTTCGGTCTTCCTTGTTCATTGTCCGGCTTTCACATGCATATGAGGCGACTGAAAACACCATGGCTTGGGTCAGACGCACTTTAGTCTTCAAGGTGACATCTTTGCTTTTCAACACTTTAAAGAGGTATTTTGCAGCAGATTTGCCCAGTGTAATGTGTCTTTTGATTTCTTGACTGCTGCTTGCATGGGTGTTGACTGTGGATCCAAGTAAAATGAAATCCTTGACAACTTCAATCTTTTCTCCATTAATCACGATGTTGCTTATTGGTCCGGTTGTGAGGATTTTTGTTTTCTTTATGTTGAGGTGTAATCCATACTGAAGGCTGTGGTCTTTGATCTTC